TGCAGCAGCCGCGTGAGGTGCTCCGTGATGTCCCTCCCCGCCACGTACAGCTTGCTGACCGCGTGGGGCAGGGAGTAGCCCTCGAAGATGGGGACGGTGCAGGTGACCCCGTCCCCGCTGTCCACCACCAGGCCCGTGACGCAGGCCGAGGCGTACAGGGCCAGCACGGCCTGGTCCGACAGGTAGAAGGCGGGCACCTGGAACGTCTCGAACATCACGGCGGCCATCTTCTCCCGGGCCTCCCTGGGGTTCAGCGAGGGCTCGGTCATGAGCACCGGCCGCTCGCCGGCCCGCACCCCCAGCTCCCACTCGAACAGGTGCCGCCACAGCTCCTCCATGTCGTCCCAGCCGACGATCAGGCCGCGCTCGATGGGGCAGCGGAGGGACAGGGCCTCCTTCCTGTGCAGGGCCTCCTCCCCCACGAAGGTCTGCTTCTGGCTGGCTCCCGCCGAGGCCGCCTGGAACTTGGGGTGCCCCACGACGGAGCTGACGATGTGGCGGGGCCCGATCTCGCCCGACAGGCCCGCCTTGCAGAGCCCGGACCCATTGTCCACGATCACGGCCGGGGAGTCTAACACGTGTGGGTTAAACATGGCGCATCCTCCGCCTCAGCCGCATCCGACCCAGGCGGAACCCTCGCGGGCCACGCTGTGACACCAGAGGCTCTTCCGGAAGCTGCAAGGGCCCGGGTTCCGTGGTCCTCGGGGCGTCTCCCCAAAAGGCGAGCAGACGGCGGGTCCCCGAGAGCCCTCCCTCCACCCGCAGGCCCGCTCCCCTCCAGGGGCCCAGGCGCTGAGGCTTTCGCAGGGATGGCGTCACTTGTGTAACAATGTAACCAAGGCAACCATTGTGCTCAGCCAACGTCAGAGGGCCTGGGGGCGGGGCTCAGAGCCCCTGGGGTACCCCCACCTGGGGAGACACCTCACAGAGGAAGGCAAGCCATGCCCCCAACCCCCGCAAGGAGGTGTTATCAGCAGCCTGTGAGTGAGTAGGACCAAGTGAAGCAGCCCCCCAGACCTCCCAGCCCGCGGGCATCTTGGCCCACTGAGCTGCGGTTTGTGGGGTGACAGAAGCACACGTCCCTTGCTAAGGAGTGACCAGGCCCCAGACATGGGTCCCCGTGGGAGGCATGATGTCCACACCTCATCGCATCAGGGACTTAGCACCTTCTTTTTAAAGTCAGACTCCTCCAGGAAGCCCTCAGGGATTTCTCTTTCCTTCACTCCAAGGGCCCTGGTAGATGCTAAGCAAAGCCCCCCGCACCCCGGGCCTGCTGGCTACCTCTCCGGGCATATGCATCCCTGCGCTGGGTCGAGGTCAGAACCCCCCTTGCTCCCTGCAGGGGTCCGTGGGGCTGGGAACGCAGTGGGGATGTGAGGTTTCATGAGGGCAACCTGATGGAGCCGGTCACACGGCCACGTCCACTGAAACACATTCGGAAATGACCAGGTCACCAGGGCTGAGGTGGCCAGGCTGTAGGGCCAGGCTGCATCCCCAAGGGGCTGGGTGGAGGGGCGGCTCCGGCCCCCACAGCACCCCATCAGCAGCTCAGGCTCCGACGCTCAGGAAGAAGCAGGGACCAATCAGACCTGGGGACTGAGCTCACTGCTCCCCGAGGAGGTGGAGGTGGTCGGGGGGTCAGGGGTTCAGGGGTCAGGGGGTCAGGGGG